TTTGAGTAAAGAACCGCTATTTAAAAAATGCGTGAGGCACACAAAATTCCTTATAAGAGGCTAAAAAGCCTAATAATTAGGTATAATGATGGTAATAGTAGTGTTGTGAGTCTTAATGAAAAGCAATTATGAAGCATTAAATCACTTTTTGAAACACAGAAGACCAAGAGTTTGTTGGTAGACAAAAGGTCAAACAAGGCATATTTGGAACAAAAACGTGGTCTCGCATAATTCTCTCCACATACGACTTCTCCCATAAGCATGTCGCCCCTTCGGACCTCATGTTTGGGATGCTCTGTACATCCCAAAAAATTGTGATAGTCGGGTGATGGCCGAATATGGAGTCTTGGCGCTGACTGAATTTTGGGGTTTGGTCAAGTGGTCGCATTACTCGAATGGCTTCTCTCTTAAGCATCTCACCCCTATGCCTTATGCTTGAGAGGTCATTTTCATTCTAAAAAATGGTGATGGTCGAATATAAAGTCACAACGATGACCGAATTTGGGGTCTAGTCAGGTGGTCGAATTAGTCAAATGACTTATCCCTTAAGCATCTCGCCATAAGGGCCTCACCCCTGAGCCTCATGCTTGGGAGTTGTGTACATCTCAAAAAATTAATACTGATCGGGTTATGATCGTAACCAGATCGGACACAACTAACTTTCGAGGTTGGCGCTACGAAAGTCGTCATAGAAAAGATAGTTGTGAATATCATTTAAGAGCAATTATCATATGTCATCAATATATTCAAACATGCCTCCACTATGTGATAAGTACATAATAAATGGCTTTGAATGCTCATTTTATTGATTAATGGCATTTAAGGTCCTTGTCTTGGATCAAGCAGTGAAAAATAAGTATAAAAGAGAGGCTAAAAATAGAAGTAGAGGTGGCAAAACGGGCTTTCCGCCCCGTCCCACCTCGCCTTAAGCTCGCCAAGTGGAAATGGGCCTAAAAATCTAGCTCGCCCTGCCAAGATGGCGAGTTGGCGGGCGGCGTGTTTGCCACCTACTTTTTTATTATTATTTTTCATTTTTTAAATAAATTAATAGTCTCATTTTTACATTTTAATTATATTTTTTACTTATTTTTTAGAATAATTTTTATAAACCATCTTTTAACAAATTTTACTTCAAAAGATATTACATATATTCTCAAATAAATGTATAAAATAAAACCATCAATAATTGGAATTATTAAAATTAACTAAAAAATGATGGATTTAAGGTGTGACAAGTTGAACGAATAGGTGTAGCGGATTTTCACGGACGACGAGTTTTGGCGGACGGACTTTGACGGATGACAGTCTTTAGCGGGACGAACTTTAGTGGACGGCGGGGACAAAATCCCAATCCAACCCGCCTTTTCTTTGACAGATACGCGAGTCAGTCTGACGGGTCACAATCTATTTTGCCACCTCTAAATAGAAGAGGACACAATTTAAAAAAAAAAAAAAAAAAAAAACTCATTGTGACCCCTCCAGTAATGATCATAGGTGAACAAGATAAATAATCTTAATAAACAATAAATGATAGGCACTCACATGATATAAAATATATCAAATTGAGCACTAAAAAATAACAAAGAGTCCGCACAAACAACTAAAAAAAACTACAAAGCCATCACTAATTTTTGTATTTTTGTTTGTTTAATTTTGATTTTATAAACATACTTCATTTCTTTTATTATTATTATTATTATTATTATTAATTATTATTATTATTATTATTATTATTATTATTATTATTATTATTATTATTATTATTATTATTATTATTATTATTATTATTATTATTATTATTATGTCTTAAATTCTGTTTGTTTTTTCAGCACATTTAGACAAGGAATAATGTGAAGATTGTAATAGAATGAGTAATTTATCCATTTGTGGGACATGCAAACGGACTTGCGTCTTTTGTAGTGTTTATCTGACACATCATTAGAGAAAAAACAAGTTTGTAAAATAATGCTAGAGTTGATACACTTGTAAACTCAACAAACAATTTGATCTCTTTGTGGGATCAAATATATAAAAAAGGAGCTATCAAAAGTCAAATATATTTGAGTTCTCTTTGTAGATAATATTTATCATACATTTAATTTTTAATAAACATTTGCTTAAAATGAATGTATCAAAGTAAAGTTGTTATCTTCTTCCTCACTTTGTTTTATTTCTTTTTATTAATTAAATAAAATATTAATTTCATTCGATTAATAAATTTATAAAGTGACAAACTTTAGTGAATATTGTTTTCTTTAGCCTATTAGTTCTTTAGTTTAAATAATGGATTTTTAAATAAATTGATGTGATATTAAACTTTAAAATAGGTGCAACTATAAGAGAAACTCATAAAATATGTAAAATCAACCTTAATAACCTTTAACATCTAACCAACTATTTCGACTTTATAGATTATACTTATTTAACAACCCTAATAAGTAACCTTTAGCATCACCTTTGATTCTTTTTTAAAATATTTGTATCGTACTTATGAAGAAAAAAAAAACGGAAAGTTGTGATTTCATTGCACAAAAATTTTACGGGAGACAATCTGCTCCCTATTTAAGAGTCTCGCATCAAACAGTATATGACCAGAACATATGTTTATAAACCAGAACATATGTTTATAAACGGGAACAATTCTTACCTAATAAACCGTTTTTGTAAAGTAGAGTTAGACCCTACCACAATTCTAAAATATCCTCCAATTATTTTTAATAAATAAAACATTGAATCAGTAAAAAAAAAAAAGTCTTTACTTCCTGAAAAAATCTGTAGAGAAGGCTTATATAAGTTACTTCTTTTGTAAACTATCATCTAGTTATTGCATGGTTTCAGACAGATAAAGACAGGACATGGTTAGCTTTTTTATGGAAACATAGTCATTAATAATAGTCTTATTCTGGATATATGTAAACCCAGAATTGTGTCCTTGGACAATGACCAGTTAAACCATTTGAAGTAATGTCATTTATCAATGGACTAGAAGCACCAACAAACAACCCAAAAAACAATTACTACGATCTCAACAGAAGCCAGTCTTTTGATTTTCCTTTATTTTCAATTTCCCTTTATGCAATAGCATTTCCAGCTGTGCAAAATGTATCTTTAGGCACTGAAATCTCAGGGGAGTAGGGGACCATAGACAGATGAACAAGAAACACACTCTGGAGCACTTGTGGGGGTGAAATTGTTCCATAATTGAGCTTAGTTGTGCACATTCATCCCCTGCAGATGTCTTCCCCTTTCCCCACTTGTTCTACTTACTAGAGTTAACCTACCCCCATTTTAATGGATATTGGGTTTGGACTGTGATCTGCAGATGCCACAGTACTCAACCTCGCTGACTTCAGCAAGGTTAATAAATTGAAAAAAAAAAATTTACCTAGTATTATTTAGAAACACACTGAGTTTGACGAAATCACAATGACATTGTAGTTTTGTTCAAGTTCTAAAGTATAATTTTTGCCAAAATAACGGTGGTACACAACGATTCTGCCAAACTCACCGTTAATCGAAACATGCAACTAATCTTTTAAATCCCAGAGGAAAGCTTATTAAGTTCCAAACCCAGTGATAGAAACCACTTCCCAAAACCTGAAGTTGAAGCTTGCAGTTTTCCTTTTGGATATACTACAATCATATTCAGATTACTGTAAATTCACATTGTTAGTGCAATGACTGATCACAATCCAGTGATAGAAATCACCAGAAGATTATTTTTCCAAACTCATGTTTGAATCAACCGTCTATGAAACACGGGCCGTCTGATCATAATCTAACGGTAAAAGTTACTTAACTGCAATGACTGTAAAATTGTCACAGCAGAGAATCTAGGTCCCCAAATCAGCTGAGTAAGTAGGTAAGCTACCATTCATCAAGATTAACTTGGATCGTTCCCATCCTTTTTTACTAAAACCCCCAATCCCAGGAGCACCGACACGCGTCCGTGTCCATGTCTCTGTCGGACACCGACACTGACACTTGTAATAACAACACTTGTAATTATGTTCAATTTATTACCGGTGCTGGCGTGTCAGTGTCGGTGTCATATCCGGTGTTTGTGATTCATAGCCCCTAATCAACCCTTCAGTCACAATCATGAACCATCACTTGCTAAAGAGAAACTAAATATATGATATGAGAAATGAAAAGTAAAAAACTACACACAATTTAGGAAAAATTACCTAGTAGAAAGCTCTGAATCAACTCACACGCAACTGGTTTCTTTAGTAAAAGAGTTTCTACTGTATATAGACAATGACTTCTTAGCTATATGCTCCCAAAACCCAAGCATGAAAGAGATAGATCATAGACATAATAGAACTGCAGAAGTAAATTGATTTTTCAATTCCCTTCAGCAGTATGAAGAAGCTATAGGACATATGATGAAAGGTCACAGTAGAAAACAGTAATAAAAAGTAAGAAAAACAAAAAGAACACTCTTTCATCTCTTACCCTCATTTGAAACAAGACATAACAAACAAACTAAACCTTGAGCATAAACTACAAGTTCATATTGTTGGCTTATTTGGGAATTTCCCTGTTTTGCAACAGAGAGAAAGCTCGTATTTCATCTAGATCTTCACAAACATGGAAAGAAATATAGATGTCATGCATGTTTTCATACCAAAACTAAAACTTGATAACAAATTACACAATACAAATTGTAACAAGTTATAAACATCAAACATAGAAATACATCAAAGATAACTAAACACACAAACAAACACAGTTCTCTAACATGAAAATTAACATAACAAACTTGAGGATGGAAAACCTGAAAATTCATCTCCAGATTTTCTTCATTCCCCAAGCATAAACCATTGAAATGAACCATTCCAAATCCATCTCCTCACCTCGAGCCAGCGAGAAACACAGCAAGTTCTCAACCAAACATCTTCTAAACAAGCGGAAACAATCACAAACCAAATATTGATTTCCAGATTTAGGGTTTCAAAGGCAAGTCTTGAAGGATAAGGAAAATGAGGTTAACAATTTCAACGGCGAGAATCAGAGGAAGCAGACGACGGCCTATCAGATACAGATACACCGCCATGCACCTCCTCCTCATCACCTCCAATTCGTGCCGGCACTCGGAAACCAGAAAAGCTACCAGAAGCAAATCCGGCACCCAACGCACCTGTCTGCCGTAGATAATCAGCAGCAACAAACGTCGGCGCATCTATCCAACCACGAACTGAAGGACTGTAACTGGACTGAAGGGGTCCCCTCTGAGAAAGATACTGATTCTGACCATACATCACTGCCGGCGAAGGCGAAGGAGTACGAAACACAAAACCTCCACCTGAAGCATCATCATTATGATTATGATTACTACCACCACCAACACTACCAGCATGAGTATCTATAGTAGCACCACCACCGCCGCCGCCGCCACAACCGGAATTCCACGCTACCGGAATTCCATCAAAGTTCCCGGCGAATAGCACATTCTGATTCCGATTCTGTTGAAGCGAGAGACGCAAATCATTACTATTCGTTCTCGAAAGCAAATCAGGAGTGCTACTATTATAACTCTGAAACTGAATCGGCGAAGACGACGTTGTTTCAGTTTCAAACGGAATGAAACTGTTGCAACCGTTGTTATTGTTGTTGAAGTTCTGAAGAAAACGAAACTCGTTTTCGTTACCGTTTTCTTTCTCCGCTACGTCGTCGTTTTGTTCTTGTTTAGAAACAAGAGAGGGTTTCCATGGAGGAAGTTGCGCGAGTTGATCGATGGCGGGCTTGGCTTTATTAATGAGCCAGTCAAGGGCTTTACTGGGCCGGTCAAAGCCCAACCGATCTTGAACATCGTAGAATTCAATAGCTGTGTGGGCCGATAAACGCACCCGGCGGTCTCTCGGGCCTTTGGCGGTGCAAACTTTACTGTGACGGTCTTTTCTTCCTCTTGACCGTATAATGTGACCGCCGTCAACTTCCACTATCTCACCGCCATTCATTATTCCTACATGATCAACTGAAGTAGTAGAACGACAGCGTTTCTTTCCTCGTTGTAACGGAACGGTTCCTTGTGTTAATTCTAACGGTTCTACATGTTTTGAGTTTAAAACGGCGTCGTTTTGGTGATGGAGTTGATGAATGGTGTTGCTTAGAGGATCCAGACTCGGACAGAGTATGTATTTGTTTTGGTGTGGCGTTGATTATTCTTTTCTTTGTTGTGAGAAAAGTTTTAGCCATTCAATATTGTTTTTTTCCATGCGAAATTGGGAAATTTTGAAGTACAATTTAGGTCAGGGGAAGAGAGAAAGAAAGAGAATGGTATAGGGATGAGGAATTGATTAGAGTGGCAGTGGTGTTTGGTTTGGTCAGAGTGAGAGTTAAAAAAGGGTTAAAGTTTGTCTGTGATTTTTTCATCACTCATGTTCTTGTATTCTACTGGGGTGTGTGTGTCTAAGCTGGATGCTACTCATTTACATAGTACTAATGCACCAACCATTCTATAATTCAATTCAATCAACAAAATTCAAAGTAAACTCCCTCTTTTAAGCATTCTTTTAACACTTAGATTCATATGGATCCCTTAAGTATGTAATTATGGGTTTAACACGCTTGTTATTTTTATCACTCACTTTTAATTAAGCTAGAAATGTTGCTAACATTTCATTTAAATATTATTAAATTACTCAAAATATATAATATACTTCGATTTACAAAATACAATGGAATCAAATACAATAAATTTATGTTTTATTATTTAGATTAATTAAAAAAAAAAAGGATAGATTGTTCTCACCTTTTCATTTCATTTGTTTCTATTTATTTTTATAGTTTCTCCATTTTTTTCTTATAAATTGCTTTAAAAAAAAGGTACTTGTTAAATTATAAATATATAATATTAATGAATTATTAATATTATTTTGTATGTGTTTAAGTATTTATTATTATTTTTTTAATTTATCTATTTCATACCATTGAGGATAATTTTATAAAATCTTTTACAAATTATATTTTTCATATAACAATGATTATATTTTTTAATATGTGTGAAAAGTCTAAGATGTCTTATAATAAAAATTGGAGGAAGTGTCTTTCAATTTGGGTGAAATGACAACTATTTTATTTCATAATAATTATACTTTTAAAAAGTAATGTGTGTGGCCCCCTGGTAGGGGTGATAGGAGACTTTAAGGATTTTCGGTGGATTAGGGCTTGCTCATAGAGGTGAGAAACCAAGTGTTTTTGATACGGAGAGAGCAAGTTCACGTCAGGTGAAAAACTTTGTATTTTTGGAGGTATTTCGTATGTATTTAGAATATCCCTCCTTAACTCTAAGGTTGAGGTATTTATAGAATCTTTTAACTTTGGGTTGACGGAAGTTATTTCCGTTACACTACTATCATGGGAACAAAGAAGTTATTCCTCCCTTAACCCATTCTGCTAGTCTGTTGTAATGAGACATATCCTCTCTCATATCTACTAAACAAGTGGGATTAATTTTGGGTGGTTAATGGTTTTGGTGAGTAATTTCCCCCTCGCCCATGTGTTGGCCTTTCTCAGCTTTATGTAACTTATTCCTTCTTGTGCCCAATAAATATATTTCAACATACAGTCCCTTAAGCACGGGGGATTGATAAAGGCCGAAATGTTTAATTGATTTTGCGTCGGGGAGCTTAGCCCTATAAGCGATGCCCTCATATGAGCCTATCTGCCAAAACTCTTAGTCGAGTCCTTCATACGCGACTTCAAGTTGAATATTTTAGGTCATACTTTAAGTTGGGTCCCTCAGGCGAGAATTTAAGTTAAGTCTTTTAGGTGAGACTTTAAGTTGAGTCCCTAAAGTGAAACTTTAAGTTAAGTCCCTCGGGCGAGGCATTTAGAGGATCACGTCTGATAAAACTCTAAGTCTCATGTGAGGCATTTATATGAGCATGTATAATGAGACTTAAGTCCCTCAAGCGATATGTTTAGGGGGACCCTGTCTAACGAGGCATTTAAATGAGTCTCTTGAGCAAGACTTCAGTTGAGTCCTTTAGGCAAGAGTTTAAGCTGAGTCTCTTGGGACATGTTTTAAGTCGGGCCTTTCATGTGAGACTTTAAGTTGAGTCCTTTAGGAAAGACTTTAAGTTGAGCCCCTCAAGCGATACTTTAAATTGAGCCCCTCAGATGAGGTGTTTATAGGATCTTGTCTAACAAGACTTTAAGTCCCCCATGTGAGGCGTTTAAAAGAGCCTGTTTGATGAGACTCCTAAGTCCCTTAAACGATGCGTTTAAAAGAGCCTATCTGACGAGACTATAAGTCCCTCAAGCGAGGCATTTATGGGAGTCTGTCTAACGAGACTCTAAGTCCCTTATGCGAGATGTTTAAGGGACCCTATTTGACGAGACTTTAAATCCCTCAAGAGAGGTGTTTAGATTAGTCTCTTGGGTCAAACTTCAGTCGAGCTCCCCAGTCAAGACTTTAAATTGAGTCTCTTGGGATAGACTTTAAGTTGGGCCCCTTAAGCGAGATTTTAAGTTGATTCCCTTAATCGAGATCGTAAGTTGAATCCTTCAAGCGAGACTTTAATTTGAGTCATTCAGGTGAGGCATTTAGAGGAACCTGTCTAACGAGACTCTAAGTCCCTCAGGCAAGACATGTAGAGGATCCTGTCTAACAAGACTCTAAGTCCCTCTAGCGAGGCGTTTAGAGAAACTTGTCTGACAAGATTAAAATTCCTTCGAGCGAGGTGTTTGAATGAGTCTCTCGAGCTAAATGTCAGTCGAGTCCCTTAGGAAAGACTTTAAGTTGAGTCTCTCGTGACAAACTTTGGTTGAGTCTCTCGGAGGAGACTTTAAATTAAGTCTCTTGGGACAGGCTTTGGTTAAGTCCCTCGAGCAAGACTTTAAATTTATCTTGTTTGACGAGACTCGTAGTTCCTCAGGCGATAAATTTAGAGGAGTCTGTCTGACAAGATTATAAGTCCCTCAGGTGAGGCGTTTAGATTAGTCTTTAGGGTCAAACTTCAATCAAGTATATCAGGCAAGACGTTAAGTTGAGTCTCTCAGAAAAACTTCGCTTGAGTCCCTATGGCAAGACTTTAAGTTGATCCTGTCTAACGATACTCTTAGTTCCTCAAGTGAGGGGTTTAGATGAGTCTGTCTAAAGATACCATAATCCCTCTGGCGAGGTATTTAGAGGAAGTGATCCTTGTGACACCTCAATTTTTAAATTAATTTATTTTATTGAGTTTTATGTGTTGATGTGATTGTTATATGTGTTTTGTGGGGTGTATTGAGGAGGAATAAAATTTATATTATTTATCGCTATTTTTAGTTAATTAAAATAATAGAAATATGGATATAATAAGATACATTAAAATTTAGGGTGGAAATAGGATAATAATATAATTGGTGTGGTAAGGAGTGAGATACCAAAAGTTGACGGGGGAAATTAGAAATAATAAAAGATTAAATTAGGTTTTTCATTTTTTTAAAATTAAGAGAAAAAATAGGTTATGTAGTACGTAGAATTTGGAGTAATAGGACTTTGAGAGACAAGAGCAAAAGCTTAGGATTCTAAGGCAATAGCGTTAATATTTCTGCAGAATTTAGGTAAGGGAGGTTTATTTATCTATGTGTATGCTTTTCATAAAGGATAGTGAGAGATTTTAACACTCTTTTTTTGTTTTCCATATCCTCCATTGTTGAGGTTTTTGAATCTTTGAGATGGTTGTGTAAACATCTTTGGATTATGATGATATGAATATGCTTTTATGTGTGATAAGTGTTGAATTGTGTATGTCATTTATATGTGCAATTCATATTGGTGTTGTTCTTGTTTATGAGGTTTTTGTGATGATGATTATAATACTAAATTCATTATAAGTTAATGTTAATGTATTTTTGGTGTGGAATTGGTGTTTTATATGCTCAATATATGTTGTATGATACATTCTGAGCATATTGGGGTTTCTGGAATCAAAATCGGAGTTTTGAAAGTGCTCAAATGGTGAAAATAACATAATATGCAATTTAAACAGTGATGGCATGCATCACTGGCATGACGAGATGACCCTCATGCACCTGGGAGAGTTGACGGGTGTCAACGTATGATGGGACGACCGTCATGGTCCTCGAGACAGGCTTCTTACCCAAGTGTCATCAGAGTGACGAGCTTATGAGATAGGGATGGTGACAGGTGGGGTGATGACCGTAAATCTAGTGATGAGTTGATCGCCAACCCCTGGTGTTGGCCGGTTATGTGCGGTTGACTCGATTTTCTTTAGTAGATTCTGAAGGTGGTGACGGTTTACTATTATTTTTTAATTATTTTGGTGAGTTTGGTGAATTAATGAGTGGGGTATTGAGCTATGCTACATGTTTATAGCTGAGTCGAAAAGTAACTAAGTTGAGATTTAGAGTACGCCTGGTAACTCTAAAATTCTCGAATAAAAGTGAAAGTTTCATGAGCTGACTATTGAGTATTGCTGTGTAATATTATCTATCAGTGAGTCTTATGTGAATAATGGTATAATTATGTGTATTATGGTAAGTTATCATTATATGATGTGATGCATTATGGTGAGGTATAGGGTTTGAATAAGAATTGTTGGTGAGATTATTGTATTGCATTGTTGTGGCATTTCATGCATCATATATATATATCAGAGATAAGTAATTGGTGATGATTGGTAACGGGACTAATTAAATAACATAACTCTGATGTCCAAATATTGGTAATGGGGTTGATCAATAACGTAACTTTGGCATCCAAATTGGTGAGTAGATTGGTACCACGTGCATTTGGTGATGAGGTGATGAGTGTTATGTATATACATTAGCACTTATGACTGGTGATGGTTGTAACTGATATATAAATATAATGGTGATTGGTGATGGTTGTGAATGATATTAATACGTTGACCCCTTTATTTCTTTATACACCGCTAACATTTTTGAACATATTCTCACCCCTTGGTTATTTTTTTTTGTTTGTGGTGTTTTGCATTCTCACTGCACA